CGGCCCCCCCCCCCCCCGGGCAGCCTCCTCCCCCAGCGACGCACGCACCTGGCACCAGGGCCTGCAGCTTGCTGCAGTGCTTCTGCCAGAGGCGCAGCGCGTGGTCCTCCCAGCGGATCAGCCTGCCCAGCACCAGCATGACGGGGATGGTGGGCAGCCCCATGAGCAGGAAGAGGGGGTCGGCCCGCTCCATCACGTCCAGCCCCTTCTTATGGCCGACCACCTGCAGCCAGGGAGCAGGTGCTGCCCACGCCAGCCACGTGGCCCCAGCTGTGCCCGCGCACAGATATCCTGGCACCACCCTGCCCACGCCAGCCACGTGGCCCCAGCTGTGCCCGCGCACAGATATCCTGGCACCACCCTGCCCACGCCAGCCACGTGGCCCCAGCTGTGCCCGCGCACAGATATCCTGGCACCACCCTGCCCACGCCAGCCACGTGGCCCCAGCTGTGCCCGCGCACAGATATCCTGGCACCACCCTGCCCACGCCAGCCACGTGGCCCCAGCTGTGCCCGCGCACAGATATCCTGGCACCACCCTGCCCACGCCAGCCACGTGGCCCCAGCTGTGCCCGCGCACAGATATCCTGGCACCACCCTGCCCACGCCAGCCACGTGGCCCCAGCCGTGCCCTCGCACAGATAGCCTGGCACCACCCTGCCCACGCCACCCACATGGCCCCAGCTGTGCCCTCGCACAGATACCCTGGCACCACCCTGCCCACGCCAACCACGTGGCCCCAGCTGTGCCCTCACGCAGCCAGCCTGGCACGCAGCAGCACCCTTTGGAGCAGTGGCTCCAGCGCTCTTGCCTCTGTTCCAGAGCCTGGCAGAACCAGACCTGGCTCAGCTCAGGCGCCATTCAGCCCCTCCTGCTGTTACCTGCATCACAGTGACGGCCCCATAGGTGACAGCTGACCAGTACACCGTGCCCACCACGATGCCAGCCATGGCAAAGGGGCTGGCTCTGGACAGGACCCGATCCACCTGGTGGAGGAAATACACCAGGGGCCCTGCAGGGAGATCAGAAAATCAGGCCACAACCCCCACCTCCCCCGGTACTCCTTGGGCCAGCCCCATGTCCCCCCAGGGACAGACCCCAAGCTCCCAGCCCTTCCCTGCCAGGCCGGCAGGAACTTCCCCAGCCCATTTCACAGGCCACGTGGACTAGTGGGCAGAGCACAAGGTCAGGAGCCAGGGACATGCCCAGGCTGGGCCTGTGCCAACCTCTGTGCCCTGGACCCCTGCCCCTCACTAGCCCCTTCAAACCCACCGGCCCCATCTCCCAGCCCCGCTCGGGGCAACCCAGGCCAGGCGGCTCAGGGGCCAGCTGGGCCTGCGGCGCCCCCCCAGCGTGGGGAAGACGATGTGGTACTCGGTGCCGCACTGCGGGCAGCTCACACTGCCCGTGCTGTTGCCCTTCTGCTTCTCGTCCAGCCAGCGCTGCAGGCAGGCCTGGTGGATCCATTTGGTGGAGCCTTTACAGCGGCAGGGGCAGACCCACTCGGCCGCCTGGTCCTCCCGCTCCGTGGCGAAACAGACCCAGCAGTGCCTGCCGAGGGCACCAGGCGCGTCAGGGCCCCGGGCTCCCCCTGCAGAGCAGGGCAGGTGCCAGGGCCAGCCTCTGGGGCACCACCCAGCCCCCCCAATGCCCACCCCAGGGCAGGGAATCAGTGCCCCCCACAGCACCCAGCACCCCGCCA